AGAGAAAAGACCATTGAGACGGACCTAAAATGTCGGCTCATAGAAAGAAAGCGATATTATTATTGCCAGATTGTTAACAGTCGGCAGGAATGGATAAGTTAAGCATGTAAGGGGAGTAGAATTAATTAGATAAATCACGACCAGTACTGTTCACGAAAAGAGAGTCACAAAGCGGTACGTCGGCCGAGCATAGATCATTTAGATATTAGACGTCTGGGAGGGGTCAGAAAGCAAAACAGCGTTAGATGAGACTAGATAAGTCAGCAAGGTGAAGCTAGGCAGTCAGATTAAAGTGGGGATAACAGTAGTGAATGTCACGAGAAAAGCAAAATTGCGGGACTACAGAGGCTATATAAAAAGCCCGTTAGCATTTCAAACGAAGCTCTCAGGCTGAGGGACAGGGTGTGTTGTGACTGCACAGCGTAGAACACGTGCGTCTCGGATTGCTGGAAGCAGTCAGAAAGTAGGAGACTAGTCAGACGAGGCTAGAGTGGAGCCAGGCCTGAAGTGTTATCCGTCCAGTGGATAAGGGAAGGCAGACAGAGCGCGAAAATGAAAGAATGTAATCGTGAAGGAGACACTTAAGGGGAAGTGGAAAAGCCTACAAAAATCTCGAGGTGTTGCGAACAGACATTTGGACCAGTTGATGGTTCAAATTATGGGCTCAGTATTCGGAAAGCAGGAGACCATGGAGATGAGATGAGGATATCGGCTCATGGAGAGAAAGCCGTATTAGAAATGTCAGAAAGTTAACAGAGCGTCAACACGATAGAAGTGTTAAGGATAAAAGCGGAGATACTAGTGGTGAATCATGAGCAGCAGTGCTCTGGAGGCGGGGGAGACAGAGCATTGCGTCTGCAGAGACTAGATCATTTATAAATCAGAAGTCCGAGAGAGATCAGAAGGCAGGAGGCCGTACAGCCAGAACCAGATAAGTCATACTAGAGTGTAAAAAGGCTCTATGGGTGAGAAGAGAAAGAAAAAGAAAGTCAACGATATGCTCCAAGTGCTCCAGGAGTTGCCGGTTTCTGATCATTAGGGTCACGGAAGTCAGAAGGTACGAGATCGTTGAGACGAGCCCAGGATGTCAGCTCGTAGGGTGAAAGTCGCATTGGTAAAGTCTAAGTGCTGACAGAGAGCGTCAACCGAAATGGACATGTTAAGGAAAAAGGGGACATGATAATAAGGTTCAATCATGACCAGCGGTGGTCTTGCGGTGAGGGTAACAGACTTTCGTCGGCAGAGTCTAGGTCACTGGATCACAGAAGTCCGAGCGATGTCAGAAAACAGGAGAGCGTACAGTCAGAACCGGGTAAGTCAGCAAGCTGAAGCTAGGCCTCCAAAGTAAGGTGGGAATAAAGTAATGAGTGTCATCAGAAAGCAGTTTGGGAAGCAAGTGGCCATATGAAAAGGCGGTTGCATGCCTAGGAGCGGTCTCAGGATAAGGGGGACAGGGCACCAGGACAACATAGCCTAGATCGTTACCGTTTGGAATGTAAGGAAGTCAGAAAGCAGGAGGCTGATCAAACGCCGCTAGAGTAGTGCCAGACCCGGAGAGTTGCCTGACGAGTAGAAAAAGGAATGCAAACAAAATGAGAAAAGGAAAGTTTTCATTAATAAGTGGAAAAGTCAGCGATATTCCCGACGTGTTATGAACAGACCACTGGGTCTGCCGACCCCTGATCCTTAGGGTCACAGAAGTCGGAAGGTAGGTCGTTCAGACTAGACTAGAACGTCGGCTCATAAGGAGAAAGGCGTAACAGTAAGCTATGAATTTTGTCGGAGAGAATCGGCAGTAATGGACACGTTAAGGATGAGAGAGGACATGATAATAAAGATTGGTCACGACCAGCAACGTTCTTGAGGTGAGGGTAACAAAGCGTTGCGTCGGCAGTGACTAGACAGTTAGATCGCAGAATCCCGAGAGAGGTCAGAAAACAGGAGACCATTCCGCCTATCCCTGATCAATCGGGTCAAGCAGTCAAAAGCAAAGAGACCACTGAGACAGGAAAGAAGGCTGATAAGTCTGCCACTCCCTGGTTATTCAGGTCACAATATTCAGAAGCAAAGAGACTATTGAGATGAGATTAGAAAATCAGCTGAATGAGTGAAAAACGTAGAATCTAGGTCTAAGTAATAAAGGGAAGCATCGGCAGAATAGGCATGTACAGGAAGAAAGGGGATATAGTAATAAGGATTAATCAGGGCCAACAATGCATTTCAGTTGAGGGTTGCAGGACGTTACGTCGGCAGAACCTAGGTCATTGGGATACCAGGAGTCCGAGGTGGGTCAGAAAGCAGGAGACCGTTCAGACGAATCCGGATAGGCCAGCAACGTTAAGCCAGGCCGCCAAATTAACTTTTGAGTAACAGTAAGGTATGTCATAAGAAAAGAAGCTTTCTGGACGAAAATGACTATATGACGAGCCAGTTAGCACGCCAAGGAAAGGTCCGGAGCTGAGGGGAACAGTGTTTGGGATGTAGAGCCTCGAGTGATAACGTCTCGGATGTCTGGGAGCAGTGAGAAACATGAGACTGGTCAATCGAGGATAGATTAGAGCCAGGAGCAAAGAGATTTACGTCTGATTAAAAAAGTAATGCAAGTAGAGTGTGGAAGCGAAAATACTCTATTCAGAAGAGGTGGAAAAGCCAACGATAAACCCCGGGTTATATGAGCAGACCGATAAGTTTGCCCATCTCTGGTTATTCAGGTCACAATAGTCAGAAGCAAAGAGACTATTGAGATGAGATTAGAATTTCAGCTCAAAGAGTGAAAACCGTAGAATTTAGGTCCAAGTAATAAAGGGAAGCATCGCAGAATAGGCACGTACAGAAAGAAATGGGGCATAGTAATAAGGATTAATCAGGGCCAACAATGCATTTCAGTTGAGGGTTGCAGGACATTACGTCGGCAGAGCCTAGGTCATTGGGACCTCAGATGTCCGAGGTGGGTCAAAAAGCAAGAGACCGTTCAGACGAGTCCGGATAGGCCGTCAAATTAACTTGTGGATAGCAGAGATAAGTGTCATAGGAAAAGGGACGACAGCGGCTATATGAAAAGCCAGTTAGCACGCCAAGGAAAGGTCTGGAGATGAGGGGAACAGAGTGTTTGGAATGTAGAGCCTCGATTGATAACGTCTCGGATGTCTGGGAGCAGCCAGAAACATGAGACTGGTCAGCCGAGGATGGATTAGAGCCAGGTCCGAAGAGCTTTACATTCTATTCAGAAGAGGTCAAAAAGGCAACGAAGTTCTCCGGGTTATGTGAGTAGACCGATAAGTCAGCCTATCCCTGATCAATGGGGTCACAGTAGTCGGATGCAAAGAGAACAAGCCGTTGAATATAGGTATACGTACTAAAGAACAGTATCGACAGAATATGCATGTTCAGGAAGAAAGGGGACATAGCAATAAAGATTAATCATGGCCAACAATGCATTTCAGTTGAGGGTTACAGGACGTTACGTCAGCAATAAGGAGTGTCATAAGAAAAGAAGCATTCGGGACGAAATTGACTATATGAAGAGTCAGTTAGCATGTCAAGGAAAGGTCTGGAGATGAGGAGAACAGATTGTTTGGAATGTAGAGCCTCGCGTGATAACGTCTTGGATGTCTGGAAGCAGCGAGAAACACGAGACTGGTCAGCCGAGGATAGATTAGAGACAGGAAGGAAGAGATTTACGTCTGATTAAAAAAGTAATGCAAGTAGAGGCTGGAAACGCAAAATCTCTATTCAGAAGAGGTGGAAAAGCCAAAGATGAACCCCGGGCTATGGGAGTAGACCGATAAGTCTGTTTATCCCTGATCAATTGGGTCACAATAGTCGGAAGCAAGGAGAGAAAGCTTTAGAATTTAGGTCTTTTTACTACAGGAGATCATCGGCGTAATGGAGAGATGTAAATGAAGCAGGCGTAGTCACCCCTCTGCTTGACTGGCTTAAATCCTACCTAACCGGGCGTACGCAGTCCGTGAAGGTAGCACACTTTGAGTCCATCCCTGTCACTGTATCCAGCGGTGTTGTGCAGGGCAGCGTGCTTGGACCAACCCTGTTTTTGATTTATGTGAACGACATCTGTAGCAGCCTGCGCCATGGTCGCCCATTCCCCTTTGCCGACGATATAAAGGTCGTATATGTCTTCCCACCAAGCGCTAAAGTATCCGCCCTACAAGAGACCCGTGAAGACCTGAAGACCTTAGAGTCGTGGTGTCAAAATTGGCAAATGACATTCTCTGCTGATAAATCTAGTATTCTGACCCACAAATGCTCCATATGGGATGGTGCGCTTACGTTGAATGGTACGCCCATCCAACTAAAAGCGTTAGCTACTGACCTAAGTCTTCGCTATTCTATGACCCTCAACTTTTCAGAGAATGTGCAGTATCAGGTAGCAAAAGCACGCAGAATGGTCTTCCACACAGGCCGCCACATTAACTCGGCTGAAGCACGATTGGAGCTTTACCGCAGTCATGTTCGTCCGCAGCTGGAATATTGCCCCTTTATCTTCAGGATTCATTCCTCGAC